ACAGCTAGTAAAATTATGATTATTGACTATTCCATACGATTTTAAATCCAATCATATCTGTAAGATTGTGGACGGGTTTCAATAAATTATATCAATTAATATTATGTACTGCAGTAGTTTTAAAACCACATAATTGTTACAAAAAGCTTATTGGTCCAATATTCTGGAAAATTGTAACACTTATATAGAGCTCAGTATGTGCTCGTAAAATACCGAAAGCAGATGTACCGTCTACACTGGTGGTGAATCGCACACGGAGAAYAAGAATAACACACGCTTTTCTATACCTATAATATATTACCTACCTACATTTTTCACTTCACGAACGCGGGTTCCAATGGAAATAATTATGTCACCGGTAGAAATACCGYCGTCGCATAAATAACTTTACCGAACATTCCGGTAGAATCGTTATTTTCGCTGAGTCTTAAGTATTTATTAACAACGTGCAGTTTGAGAATTCAGTCACGTAGTGTGGTAAGGTGCACACATTATAAAACACACACACACATACACACACACACACACACACGCGCACGCGCACGCGCGCGTGCGCATAGTACCTACGCGTGAAAATAATATTTTGATTACGAAAAGTGAAATGAACATGTGTCGTCGTCGTCCTATTGACTATATTATGTTTATCCGCTTAGTTCCGTCTGCCGTATTCGTACGGAGAGAATATTTTAAACGTACCTACGYACCTACGCGTATGTAGACATTACATAATATTATGAACGTCACCTAGTCGTTTATTTCCCGTCGTCTTAATAAAGACTCGTCGAGAATAAATTAAAAACGCGTAGGTATATTGTATTATGCCGTTATAACCTGACAACAGTTTGTAATACTAACAACTAATTTGTTTGCTTGTTTAATTAGACTATACTTTTACATCGTACGTGCACTTATATTGAAATTGTAGGATTCACATAATTTTTTTTATTGCTTTTAACATTTTGGATAAACCAAAAACAAGTGATTATAATAGTGACTACCTATATAGTAATATAGTTTTATATAGTTGTACGTTATAGGTATAAATATTATATTTCAAATGTTYTTGATTTCGTTTTTTGAGTTAAATTTCACATGGAAAAAAATAATAACACTTAATGTTTAGGTACATTAATGCATGTTATATCATAATATACCTAGTAAAATATCATATAGATAGTAATATAAAAGGATTCGTACAATATTAATAAATGAGTAAAATCGAATTAATGTAAATTATTTTAGCAGAACAATAACACGATTTGTTTTCAAACACTAGTGTTCTTCGAAATCATATTATATATTATTAATATAAAGCGGTGCGCGTGTGTTATTATTTAATATTTGAAAAAAGGAACACATATTGTCACTAGCTTATGCAATACACATTAACGTTGAAATAGAAAATGATTATGAATGTTGCATTACGATT